TTCAGACTACAAACGGCCTGAGTGCAGAAGCTCTTCCCTAGTCTCTCAGTCTTGGCTTTCAGGATGCAGTAGCGTCTCTCCGACCACAGCAGTGAGAAGGGGCTGTTGTTGGCCATCGTTGGGAGCAGTTGAACAAGACTTTTTGAAAGACTGTACTTTCTAAGATACTTTCTGTGACTGGATGCCGAATACTTTCTAATTTAATATTCATGTTTTGCCTACTATCAAAATGAAATGATTTATTATCTGTGGACCTGTTAACTAATGAAAATGAATTTAAAGGCAGGCTTATCAGATTTCCCTTCACACCAACACAATGATGCAGCCACATGGAGACGGACAGCAAGTGCCTGGGACTTTGCAATCCGGTGGCTCGAATTATACAAATCCAGTGTGTCCATATTTACCGAGAAACAAGGGTTTAATTTGGATCCTCAATTATGCAAATGGACCTGATGTCGCTTGGAAAGTCGTTAGCCGTTAGCGCTCGCCGCTTCGCGGCCCGGCAAGCAAACTCGGGGCTGCAGACGGGCGCGGTGAGAGCAGGTGGCACGTTATCCAGGTGCCGTAGGAGTCGACGCGTCATGCAGTGACGTCCTTCCTTTTCTGCCCCGCGCCGGAAGCTGCCGGTCGCAGCCGTTTTCCGCCAGGGGGCTTGCATGCTCTGATTCTGCCTGAATTTTTATGAGAATGAAAAGAAACCCAGCAAATAGGTGCTAGCTTCTGAAGCCTCACATGTAGGCAGGCACATGTGCTTCACATAGTGCGCCGCAGTTGCGTGTGTGCTGCCACCTTCAGGGCAGACGTTGTATAGCGGCCTTACCTGGTACTCCTGAGGGAGGGGCTCATTGAGCAGAAATGGATGGCGTCTCTGCATGATTTAGGCTGCTGGACCGTTTGTTCCCCTCATTTTAATAGGGAGCCTATTGAATAAATCAATCCAATTTATTTATGGAACTCAGCAAAATAAGTCTGAATAAATTGTCTTTTACAACCCAGGATGGACGCGGCTTCCTCTGGGCCAGTGAGTAAACCAAAATGAAGCGGGGGGGCTATAAACCCAGGGAAAAGGCCCATAAGGCTGTCAGGGAATATGCCGGTTTTCTGCTGAGTGACGCCATTCAGTGGGTCCTGAGATACAGGCCTTTTTTCGGAGACGGCTCTCGCTTGAGCACAGTGCTTAAGAGAAGAATAAAAGCAGTAAAACACCTTAATGCATTAAGGTAATGCAGTGTGGGCCGTGCTTTATGGCAGCAGCCCGCTTCTGGAACATGCCACAAGCTTAGAGAACTTTGACAAGTCACATGGCCATGCAGTACTCATGTGTAAAATGCAGTTTGATGCTTGTGTTGTTCTTACACCTCTCCAATGCAAGAACGTGGACTCTCTCTCTCTCTCTCCCTCTCTCTCTCAGCCTCCAGACTGTCAAATAAAACGATGAGATAATAGACAGGAGATGCACTCAAAATGAATATACTGTACTTTTCACCTCCTGCAGGAGCACCATGAATACTGCATTTGCCATTTTAAGGTACCTCCTTCGGCAGCCGGCTTGTGAGCAGGAGGCAGCGGATAAGGGTTAGATGTGGGGAGCTGGGGAGCCAATTATCCAACCCCCCCCCTCCCACTAGCTTAACTCAGACTTGATCTGGAAGCCTTATGACCTGATCAGAGAGGTGCCAACCTGGCTTGTAGAAGCCGAGGCCCCGGAATAATGCACCCCGGCAGCCTCCCTCCACCTTGGCATTCATTCGCTGGAATAATTCACCTCCCAATGGGCAGGTGCTTCTGAGTGACCTTGTGCGTGACCAGCATGCAGCCTGTGAAGCATATGCTACGTGGCTGCTTGGTGCAGGTCGAATCAGCCTTTTGCTTGCAGATTGACTATAGGGGCCAGCTTGTTATGCGTCAAGGAGTCCCCTTCAGTGAACATCATGTACTTGTTATAAGCTATAGGAGCCCTATCAGGGAATGTCTTCTACTTGTTATACCCACTGGGGTCCTATCAGGGAACATGTTGTACTTGTCATGCTCCATAAGGGCCCTATTAGGGAATGTCTCACACTTGTCATGGTCTATAAGGACCCAATCGGGGATCATCTTGTACGTGATATATACAGAAACTGTCTAAAGAAATGGCTCATGTGCAGCGAGTGATTCTCTGCACATTCTCCAGCCAGCATGGTGTTGGATTAGACAAGAGTGCCTGGGACCACTTTCAGATCCTCTCATAATTACTGGGGTTCACTCTCCTCCTTCTGCTGAGTGACTCGCATCTTTTGCGATGGTTCCTTATGACCATAGCGCCTTAGCAGCTCCATCTGTTGGGCTACGAATGGTGCCTAATGAAACATAAGTGTCTGTACCACTTGCACCTCAGAAGGAATTGATATCCAGGCCGCCTATGTACAAGCAGGTATGACCTCCAGAACCACTTCAAGCATACATGAGTTGTGCATTCAGAGATGCATTTCTGCCATCTAATATCATACTCAGCTGTTATTTTTGCTTGTTATCTTTAATAGCTCTGGCCAATCCCCTCTAACGTCTCTCATTAATATGATGTTTTCAGCCAAAGCACAATCATTGAATGGATGGTTTTTTTTTCCATTGTACTATCCTCTGGTAACTCTAGATGCAATAGTGCATGGAAATTCCAGAAGGACATCTCAAAAATGCTACAACCATCACTTCTGACACAAAACAATCGCACCACCATTTGAAATTGCTTGGATCATGTGTCTTAAAAATTCCAGTGCTTAGCAGCACAGTAACAGAACCTCTTGTCCCTGTCTACATGCTATATATTCAGTAGCAGCCAAATAGTTTACTGTTCGGAGGAGCAAGCTGTTTGCACTAATGCATAGATGTACTTAATATAGTGTCCACTGTTTGTAGGTGTACGGTACAAATTGGCCTGCACCTGGGGAACATTGGTGCAAGTCAAGTGTCCAATGAATAATGGGAGAAAGCATCTGTTCTTAATTAATAATCAGGATGACAATACTAATATAAGTAAGAACATACCTGTTGGGCCAGCTTGACCCAACAAAATGTTCTAAAACAATTTTCTATCAGCGTCGTTTTCTGCTATTTGAATGAATATGGACAAACATATCTAGCTTAAGCAACAGATGGGTAATGAAAGTACCATATTGAACAATGGATTTGAGTCCAGACGGAGTTTCCTATCGGACAGTCAGATTAGAGGCACATAAAATAACGTCTGGCAGGACTGATATAAACATGGTTGGACATTGCTAAATGATGCTTTCTTTATTTTTCCGCTGAAACATGTGGCTTCGTAAGGGAATTAAGATCTCCAGGCAGCCTTGGATAAGGTATGAAGCAAGCGTCTTCGTAGTGTGGAATGCCTGGGAGACATCTCCTCACTCCCACTGTAGAAGACCTGTGTAGTCAGTATGCACAAGTGCAGAATTATTCATTGCCCTCTTGCTCCTGGTCTAGCAGACTATTCCCCCTGGTAAATATATAACAAAGGAATTTTTAGCACAAAGCAATGGATCCACAGGATTCCGACAGTATTCTGTCTTCTCTGTATATGATATTAGCAGGAGTCTCTTGCTAAGTAAGTTTATGCACTGTGGAAAGCTTTGAGATAAGAGATGACTGTCGCAGATGCGGAGAGTTTCTCTGTTGAAAAGCGAGCTGTTGAACTTTATCTGAGTAGCAGTAGTTGTACCTCTAATGGGAAATATTTTGTTATACCTCAGTGTACAAATTTAAAGTCATTTCATCTGAGCCTCAATGGATGCTGAAGCAAGCTATGTCATTAACAGAACGTTATTAAAATTGTCTTTGAGAGTATCACATTCTGTTACTCTACGAACAGTTCTAAAATTGTAGTCAATTTGTGTCCCCCAAATTGTAGTCAATCTGTGTCCCCCAAATTGTAGTCAATCTGTATCCAGCAATTAGATAATCCATTATACTACTAAACCATTTGGCTTTGTTGCGTATGCTTGGTTTAAAGAGCTATTTCAAGAATATTTTACTGTTGCTGCTATTGTTGTTGTTTTTTTTTTTCTTAATTTATTTTTTGTAGCGCACACAGGAAATGACTAGTGGCTCTAAATGATAATGAGGGTCATAGCCTCAATCTCCCGTAAGTGTAAAATGGCTCTTAATCATGTCGTGCGCGTGGTGATAATCTGCTCCGCTGTCTGTGGCAGCAGCTGCGGTGGGCGCCCAGAGAACTGGGGCAGGCCAGCGACTGAAGTGACTTAACTTATCAGTTGGGGATTGAGCGCTTTGTAGTAATTTGAAATGCGGCTGGAATTTTTTATTTTTTTTGTTTATGGACAGGCATAAATCCGGGAGCGAATGTATGGATGCCTAGCTGATTTTCAAAGGAAGGTGGCAGGGCTTCACCTACTCAAAGCTCCCCTTCCAATCTTAGAGAATCTATGTCGGATCCCATTCTTTCCAATTCAATTTATTTTTATATAGCGCCTTTCACAACAGAGTCGCCCCAAGGTGCGTTACATGGGAGTGTTGTGATACGATCCTGCATCATTTATACATAATAACTCAAAAACAAGTAAAAGGGAATAGACACTTTTTTGGCAAATCCTGACTGATGACAAACAAATATCTCGCAATCGAAACAGCCATGCTCCACAAGCGAGAGGTCCGCCACACTTTCACAACTACCTGGCAGGTGTGAGGACGCAGCAGAGAAGCTCTCAGCCATAAAAACGTCAACAAGATTATGATCCGTCTAAATGATTCCATAGGTGGTACCAACACGATATGCAGGTGGTGTCTAATGAGACTCCTGGACTCTCTGAAGTGGTCTTTTTATTAATGGGACGTTCCATGAGTCACTAACTCAAATATAAAAATCCTTCTACAGTCATAAAGAGCTTCATTAAAAGCTGGATCATTATCTAAAATGTTGTGTATTGCTGTGTTTTAAAGGTAACGATTTTAAAGAATTTAAATGTGTCACGCCCTCCACCTGGCTTCTGAATTTGCAGGTTTGGTGATGGGTACACGGTCATCGTGAGAGTGGGTGGGGTGCCTCCAGCCTTGGCCCCTGTGGAGGAGTTTGTGAAGGACACCTTTGCAGGAAGCATGCTGAAGGAGAAGCATCACAACACCCTGCAGTACCAGCTGCCATGTACAGAGGGCGCCCTGGCTACCATCTTCAGCCAGTTAACGCATCATCGGGAGCGCCTGGGAATCGATGACTACTCTGTGTCCCAGACCACACTAGACCAGGTACCACATTTCCCAACCTACATTTTACAAATTGAGCATGCTAATGTTTCTCTGGACACAACACTGACATGGTAAACATCCCTAATGAACCTCACACATGAACTGCTACCAGCCATCTTGAACCTCACGCACCACCAACACTTTGACATCCCTTTAGAACCTCACACACTGACATGCTAACATTCTTATTGACCCACACATACTGACTAGGGTCGTCACCTTTTATTTGTGAGAAACCGGGACACTCAGACATTTTTTTTTTTGGGGGGGGTGGGGCAGGATTAAACCATTTTTAACAAATAATACTATTTGCCTTTCTCGAACCTAGTTGCACTCACTCTGACCGCTTTGTCTGTTGCTGTCCCTTATGAATTTGGACAACCTGACACTTTCATTTCATACCTATTCTCCATGTGTATTTCGCATTGTTTTTGCTGCCTGCAGACGTCCCCGCTGTCCCTCAACGAATGCTTTAAATTCCAAGCGTGAAAATTTCCATTTTAATCTAACTTGCTGTTCAGCTTTGACCAAAAGTTACAAAGGGTAAATTTTTGCAGTAGCTTAATACAAAGCTGTGGTGCTACTTTGTTTTTGCATCATTTTCCAGCGTTGTTTTTCCTTCGTATTTAACAGAATTTTTGGCTGGACACAAAACACTAGTGGCAGAGAACGGGGTGGGGGGGGGGGCAGGGAGTATTTCACAATCTGTTTTTTTTTTTCATTAGCCAGATAACTTCAACCAATTACAGTATAAGGATTGTCAAACAGGAATGTCAAAGTTAACTGGATTAAGTTATCCAGCTAACTGGGAAATTCTGCTTTGTGGAATACCCCCAAAATCTCCTTTTTTGTGCCTTACCCATTCAGAAAAGTTTTCTCATTTCGCCCACTCTGAATTGTACGTTTTAAATCACCTTTTCCTTGACACTGGTGGGTCGAACATCACTCCCCCCATTTCACAAAAAACGACAAAATAAAGTTTTTTTTTTTAATTAATGTTACATCTAGCTAGCAATTTAAGTCACGGGGGGTTGTGGATGTGGATGCACTCCGCAGACCGACAGACCATGCAGTTGCTAAGTAACAAGGCAAGCTTTGTGTGTCTGCTACCAATCAAATAAAAGTATAGACAAGGCCAGTCGTCGCTGTGTTTTACCCTTTTTAATCGTTTACGGACACAGGATTGGATGTATAAACAAAACCAGGAAGGAAAAAGAATAGCTGTAGAAGGAAACCAATTGAGGTATAATTTGAAACAAAATTCTAAATTCGATGTATAAAAAAACTGTACAATTCATGCCCCAGGAAAGAGAATTAATTTTCGGGGACAGCTGCTCAAAAATATCCCAGGAACACCAGGACAGGTGGCACCCTAAAACTGACATGCTAACAGCCATTATCACCCTCACACACTGACATGCTAACACCCATTATCACCCTCACACACTGACATGCTAACACCCATTATCACCCTCACACACTGACATGCTAACACCCATTATCACCCTCACA